CCAGTCTTCAGTTATAGCAAATTAGCTCAGATGACTGCTCTTTCATATACTCCTGAATAGTCCTTATTTCTATATTAAGATTCCACTAAACATGAATTCTGAATAGTCAAAGCATAACTATATGGCATGTAGTAGTATAAACAGCAATAATACTACTATATAATTTAGCAATGTTTAACCTCTTCAAGAAGCTTCCATGCTTGTCTTATTTTATGCTCACAACAACCCTGTGGACTCAGTAAGGACAGTATTCTTATCACCAGGCTCAGGTCTCTAAGTACTTTTTCCTCTAGCCCAATGCTACCTCCCTAAACCAGATCACACTAAGTCACTTGTTAAAAACTAAGGACAAGTTTAAAGCCTGAAGATTTACCAGCAGCAATTATCAACATTAGGCAGCTATGGAGAAAAAGACAAAAGAATATTCCTTACAGAAAATTTAAAAATTAAGAAAAATAAGTTTTTATGAAGTTCTTTTTACACATTAGCGTATTAAGCAGATGAATTATCAACAGTTACTAACAACTGTAAAAGAGTAAAAGAACAACAAAGAACATCAGAACGTCAAAAGTTACAGATGTTCTTTATTTACCAAACATATAGCAAAAGGAAAAATTTTACTTAACTGAATCTCATAGGTAAATAAACTCTATATTCTTTTAAGTATCAGTATTTTGTTTCATAATTTTAGATGAACATCTTTCAAAAATATGTTGCAACTTCCTTTACCATTACAGGCACGTAATACTAGGTATGACATTAACAAAATTTTGTTATGTAATACTTTTAACAGAATGATGCGACAGAGAACTATGCATTCATTGACTATTTAAAAATCATTTAAATAAATTACATGGTAAGTTAAAAGGTGATGAGAGGTCTTAAAAACAGAGTAGATAGGAGGGATCAGAAACACTGGGGGGGGGGTGTTCAAGCTGCACTACTGAACAGAGAACCAGTCATGCTTTATTTAGAAGGCAAGGTTAAGGAAGACCTCGAAGTAAGGAAGAGGGGATGAGAGGGAAGAAGGGAATTAGCAGCAAGACCTCTGGAGGAAAGGAATTTGAGCTAAAGCCCTGGGAGGTAAAGGAGTGGAGAAACAGCAAGTAGGTCAATATGACACAATCCAAGGCAACAAGAGGCCAGGTCATATATGGAATATGACTTTTATTCTGAGTTAAATGGGGAGCCATAGAAGAGTTGTGAGCAGAAGAGTAAAATGATCCGACTTCCTGATTTCCTAAGGATCAGTCTGGCCACTACATTGAGAATTGGCTACAGGGAACAAGCACAGAACAGACCAGTTAAGTGGTGAATGCAGTAAATCCAGACAAGAAATCAGTGGGACTCAAACTATAGAGTCATAGCAATTCTCTTAAGTGGCTGGGTTCTGGATATATTTTGAAGACAAGAGTCACTGCTGGTCTGTTTGTGTGATGTGAGAGAAACAGAGGAGTCAAGGATGACTCCAAGGTTTCGGAATCGAGCAATGAGAATACAGAATTGCCAGCATTCAGCTAGCCTTGAAGCTAAAACAGTCTGAGGATAAATCTAATCTGGGACACATTAAGATGTCTGTTAAGATGTTCAAGTAGAAATGTAAAGTAAGCAATCTGGATTTGGGAAAGAGGACAAGGCTGGAGATACGTATTTGAAAGACATTAGCATTCAGTTCCTAAAAGCCATGGAACTCGATGACAGATGAGATCATTAAGGGAGAGGATCTACATAGAGAAGAGGATCTGGGATTGAACATAGGGCATCTTGTTTTAGGAAGCTGGGAAGAGCAACCAGCAAAGGAAACTGTGAAGGAACACCCAGTGAGGCTGGAGAAAACGTGAGAGAATGAGGTGTACTGGCAGTCACTTGAAGAAAGTGCTTCCAGGAGAGTGGTCAATTCGACCAGGGCTCAGGTGAAGGTTAAAGATGACTTGAGGAGTGATCTTAGTGGGATGATGGCATGGACTACATAACTTAAACCTAGTCATGTGGGTTTAAGAGAGAATGGGAGGAAACAGAGACAGAAGTGTATATAACTTTTTCAAAGAAATCTGCTGTAGAGGAACAAAGACATGGGGTAGCTGGCAGGGAAGTGGGATCAAGCGAAGTCTTCTGATTATGTGAAAAAGAACAAGTCTGTATGTGATGGGAACAATATAGTAGAAAGTAAGAAATCACTCATGTCTAATTGAGGGAGGAGAATGGTGAGAGCAATGTCCTTGAGTAAGAGAGATGACGTAGGATCTAGTGAGTTACACAAGATGATTTGCCTTCATTACTGTCATTTTTCCCTTCTAATTTATT